TCTTCCATTCAAAACCTGAACCAAACTCAAGGTGAGCAATGTTCTGATTATGTTTTCTTTGCTTATAACCCTTTTACCTTTAATGTTACAGATTTGAGGACAAATATTTTTGAAGAGAGAGGGAATGATGCGCCCCTGTTTGAGCACCAACCTGCTTGGATCATAGAACCTGTCCAAGGAGACGATCTTGTTAACCAACTTGATCCAACCGAGGTTTCATCATCAGAAGACGCAACCATGGACGAGCTGAATGAGCTGAGTGAGCTAAGTGACACTAGCTTGGAGCTGGATAAGCTAAGTGACACTAAAGATGGAGCTGTTTTAGTTGATGGGCGAAATTGGCCTTTTTCAGCCAACGAAAAAATTCATAACAAATTCAGTTTGGGTCCGATTTACACCAAATTTGACCAGGCCTTTGCTGATGGTCTTCAGCCAATTTGCATCAAAAAATATCAACAAAAGGAGTCAAATTCGTGGTCATATCAAGGGACATTCAACAACACACTTATTTCTAGTCAAAAGTCTTAGTCTTTGTTTGTGTTTTCTAAGTTTTTAGTTTTCTACAAAAACTCTTCATTTCTTTTGACCACAAGTAGTATAAATATGTAAACTCTTCTATGAATAAAATAAGTCTATGCTTTTGAGTCTAATTTTGTTCTTCTCTGAGTGAGAGAGAGAATTCTTTAGCTAGTTCATTGGTGTGAACAGGCTTGTTGATTTGGTGGTCAGCCATTTCATCTTTGTGTGTTGTTTGGTGGTTAGCCAACACATTCATCCTTTCTTTGGTGGTTAGCCTTAGATCTTGGGTATATCAAGAGCCATTCTGCATCTCTTGACGATCCTTTCAATCCATCTCAGTTCCAGAAGTGCCGTTTGCCTTCTCGTTTCATATCCAACACCCAGCTAAAGTGATCCTTCTATTTTTGGTTCTATCACAACACCCATTGTGGTGTGAAATACAGATTGAAGGCACGTACCTATGCTGCGTTCCACTTGAGTAGCCCTTGCTGGCTGTGACAACCACCATGGTATGTGAGATGAATATATATTATTTGAATGAGAGTTATCAAAAATGTTGCAGTACAATTAAGGGCACTACTTATCATATAAACTCCAGCTTGCTAAAACCTCCTTGTCAAAATAGAAGTGTGTCCTAGAATTTTCATTTAAGAAAAGATAACCTGCACAAGATACTTGTAGATGTGAGATGCCATTTGAAGAATAAAACATTAATATTGTTAGCAAGAAACGTGTTAACCTCCTACAAATTTGGGGTTGATGCTTGTGGAGATCATCAACTTAGGCTTCACAACACCATCATCCAATTTCTTATGAAGGAGATCTGCTAGACAACACCAAGACAAACGGTCATGTCCCTGCATTAGATGGGGAGGGGTTTGATTGGCAATGGGTCATACTTATGATAATAATGGAGGGAACTTATAAATTAGTTTCTTGTGCTTGTAGGTACGTACCTATCATTGGCAAGGTTGACTATCACCCATTCAATTTTCTGAGCTTGGTCATTGTGAGTTCTTCTGATAGTGCCTACTTCCCCAATGATGTCTGAAAGTGAGAAAGAGGAAGGTATAATAAGTTAGCATATTAAGGAAATGAGTAAGGCGGATTGGATATTTTCTAAGAGGTACCTTGCAATTTGGAGTGTATTTTCCAAAAGCCATCAATTTCTAGTAATTGCAGAGCTTGAAAAGCTCAACTGGAATTTGTTGGTACACCAACATCAAGTACATGCACCAAGGATAGCAATAGTTGAATCAGTGAGCTTGAAATTATTTTACATCTTGTAACATCAAATCCACTTAACTCATATATGGCTCCTTCGTTTAGGAGTTCTCTGAAAGTGTTCAGCCGATGGACTGTGACGGAGGCTTGGATACGCAAATCATGTTGCCATGAGAGAGTTTAATGTGAGTGTGGGAAGAACCAAGCATTGTGAAGATATTAACGTAAAAAAATAGCCATGGGAGAAACCTTATCATCGTTCATGAGTTAACAACCTTTCTTCACATTCTGAGCTTCCCATAAACAGAGATGGCAGGTGACAACTACCTGAGAACAACGGCTGAGCTTCAAAATTAATAGCCGAGAGGTCGCCATGACTCTTTGATGTCCGTTTGAGTCTGTGGAGAGGAATCGAATTTGTGCAAAACATCAACGTGGAGGTGGCTATTTATGGTGTAAGACGTAGCAAATGCTCCAATTTACTGAGAATAAATGCGAATGGTGAGCTTTTAATTGCACTCCATGCGTTACAAAAAACTTACAATGCCATTTTTACAGAAGCAGTGGAAATTAGGGTCTGAATAAGACGCCGATGGTCTTACTTAAGTTTAACTGTGATTTGGGCCAAACACTTAAAATATCGAAATATTTTTATTTGGATAAAAAACTAAAAGAATCGTAACAATCCTACCCACGAAAGAGGAGAAAGACAGATGTGTTTTATTGAGATGTTCTTAATAGGGCCTATTAAAAAGTGAGTTACAGAATTAGGAAGTGCTGACATGGTACAAAATGCCCCACCCTTCCTTGCTGTCATGGACGCGGGAGAAGAGACAAAAATTTGTTCTATTATATAAGATGTGTCTCTGGACGAGGATCACTGTCCTACTGTTAAGACTAGTGTTTAATCATCAATCACAACAATATGGTCAATCTTTTAAAAAAAAAAATAATTTATTAAAACTTCGTTTGTGGAAAGACTAGTGTTTAGTCACCATTCTCAACAATATGGTCAATCTTTTAAGAAAGAATTGTCTAAACTCCGTTTGTGGAAGTCCGTTTACTCTATGAATGTAGGGGGGTGTATTGAACGGTGGGTTTTAAATGTTTGGATGGATTTAAGAAGATCTAGTGGTTTAAAGTGGTTTGGAGTAAATCTCATTGGTTTAGGTGGGATTTACAAAAAAAAACAAAAATAAAAGAGAGAAGTGATTTTATTAAGATTTTCCCTAAAATTTCAGAGTACTTTAGTTTAGATCATTGATTTATTGATCGATTTAGGTTTCTTAACTTAAAAATGTATAGTACGCCTTCACGAATGATAGATAACTGAAAAGACCTATTTATGCTCTTCTAGCAAGAAAACAGAGTGGAAGGAAAAAAACAGAGCACCAATCTATTAACTTAGTTTGCATATTTGGAGCAGGTAGTCTCATATAAGAATACTTTCTAAAGCTTATGAGCGTTGATTCAGTCATTACGTATCATATCCCTGCAACAAAAAAAGTATTATATACACAAAAACTTTCAGCTAATTAGAAAAACTTCTAATAATAAAACAGAGAGATCTGAATCAAATTGACATTGGGAAGCGATCCTAGGAATCTTTAGTCAACTTCATGCTTTAAACTTTTAAACACTTCCCCACCACAAACTTCTTTAGTCTTCTTGGTCAATGCCATCAACATAGAAGCCACAAGAAATTAGTGATCTTAAACTTTTTTGTACATCTACAACATTAGAACTCAGAAGCATCATATCCCTCATAACAACAATGGTTGATCCAAAACAGAAAATCCTATTATAAAGAGTAGTGATAACCGTAGATATGATATAATGACAAAGCTTCTAGATAAACATTACTTGGACCCTGTGTATTCGTATTGCATTGCAAAGCTTCAAATCTCAATAATATCCATTATATACAGAATTAGGTAGCACGAGCAAGACGATGTCCCCTTGTTGGACACCCAAATCTCCATCAATCCAGACAGTCGTGCTTGTGAGAGAAAAGACCAGAGAGACACTGACGAGATTTTGAGTCAATTAGGTGTGCAAAAGAATTTGCTGGTGAAGATTCTGCTTTTGGAGAGACGTAGATGAGCTCGTATCATTCTGTGGATTCTAGTTTACTTGGCAAATTCTTAAATATTATTAGATCTTTCCAAATAACAGCTATAGAGGTGTGATTTCAATTATGTTGATTTGTGTTAAAAATGAAGAAAAGCTTGTGTCAAATCCTCTTCATGGTTTTTTCTTTTCAGAATTTTTTTTTTTTGAATAACACGAGATTTGATTTGGTTTTTATAAGTTACTAATTGAGAAACAGCGGATTTGAAGTCATTTCTAATGAGTTTACTTAAATGTCATATTCAATAACATAGGATTTGAATTGTTTTTTAGAAATCATTAGTTGAATAACATGGAATTTTAAAACAAAACCAAAACACTTAAAAACCCACAATCCAATACATCCCCCGTAGATTCCACAATAATCAGTGGTAAACCCATTCTTAATGAACGGGGGAGTTAAACCCTCTATCTATAACATTTCAAAATCTTTTCTGTACTAACAATAACAGCGTAATTAACCCGGTTTAATTCTATTATAAACACAGCTATTTAGATGTACAGTACTTTATTATTTTACTATTTCTTAATCAAAATTATTAAAACACATCATTACAGAGCCACCCTCCACAATATATAATTAGTACCATCTAATCTAGACATGCTATATCTATTATATAAAGTAAAGCATCACTCTCTCTAAGGCTGTCCACATAGGCACCAGCGTGGAAAGTCCACGTCAGATGCAATATATTATTGGGCCTCGCTTGATTCGTGCTTGGGCCTCACGCGTTCCTGGCCCGTTGTTTTTTTTCCTCGCCCCTAACCTAGACTGTCGATGGGAAGTTGACGATTGGTGTGACGAATGGTGTCTCCTCCTCTCTGCGATCTCAAATGGCCGGATTCAATTCGACAAGCTCGACATTTTTGTTTTCTTCAGATCTGTGTACGATCATTCCGGTTGATTTCTCATTGTTTTTTTTATGCTGAGATTTATCTAATCTGTTTTGTTTTACTCTTCTCCTCGATTTCTTAGAGATGATTGATTTTTTTTAACTACAAATATTATTGCTGCAAATCTGCAATGATGTGTCTGGATCTTGAAAGAGAAGACATTTTGAAGTCACTACAAATTGAACGGTTAAAGCCGTCTCGGCTCCTCCCTCCTCAGGGATCAAACCTTCCTCATGCTTCACTCCAAGCCGGCTGATCAAGGAAGCCTTATGTGTTTGGTTAGAGACATCGGAAAAAACGGCCATGGGCGGAATCTTCCAGGTGTGGAAGTTCTTGCCAGAGAGGGAGAAACACCAGAAGGTAGAGGACTCGATTAGCCATATCTCAATTGTGTACAGGTTAATACCCGTTTCTAGGTTGCTTTGTTTCCATCTCTGAAAGAATTTTTTTGTCGATGTCTGCTCAAGAAACTCTTCATGTTCCTTAACCGGGTCTAGCCCATATTCGTAAGTTGTTGAGTTGGGTTTGATTCAGTTTGGGTACTTGAGCTAATTGTTTATCGAAGAGATACAGAAAGCAAATGAAATTGAGTCTGAAATCATGTGGAACCATTGGAGAGAAACATAATTCTTCTATTTGTGTTTGTAGATTCTTGAAGAGACTGAGCTTAGGACATGTAGAAGTTTATTGTTGATAAAGAAAAGAAGTACCTTTGATGTGGTTCGGCTGAAAGTTTCAGAGATGACAAACAAGTGATGAGAATAGCTTCGATGTGCATACATCATATTATAGTAATTTCCTGTGTAGTTAATGCAACTGTTGCGTGAAAAAAGAGGCCTAGCTGGGCTGCAGTAGAAGCTATGTCAAGGTGTGTCAGTGGTCGTGAACGCATGCACTCTTCAGGATCACACCACCACTTCATACCTCAACGAACTCATCTGCGATAGGTAACTCCTAATTGTGTGAGTAGAAACAGTCAACCTGCTTATATGTAATCCCTGTTAAGCAACCTGATAATGGTAGACCCGAGGGTTTCAAGATTGCTATCAAGGCGATACCCAAGAGAGGATCAGGAGTGCAGCAGAATCTTTAGAGAATTGTTGAAGAGAGGAAATAAGAGTATGATAAAGCTAGAGCTCGGATCTTTAACAGTCTTGGTAGCTCTGACACTGAAGATTCTTCATCATTAGGAGCTCCTCCTCCTGCTCTTGAAGTGAGAAACACAAGTATAAACTTCAATGAGGCTGAGGTGGCAGTTAGTAATTCTGTTGATGCTGGTACTCGGACAGTAGCCATTATCAGAGATAGAGAGAAAGATCGATATGATCCGGATTATGACAGGAGCTATGACAGGTATGTTGTGGATCTCGCATACAGGTACACTTTCTTTCATCTCTTATTAAACTGCTGACATTCATTCAACGACACTAATCTTCTGCAAACTGTAATATTTTTTTTCTTGTGGGGTGATGTTTTTAGGTACGTCAGGGTTATGCCGTCTGATAACTAATACGCTTATGCCCCTTCAAATGAGTTTTGCTTCTTATTCTTCACAATGGTAGCAGCTATGTTGTTCTACTGATTTTTGTTTAGTCTCAACCCCGAAGAAGTTGTCCAATATAAGCGTAAAAGCCCAGTACACAAATATACTCAGATTAAAACGAAGTGTTAAACACATGAAATTTTGTATCAACAAGCTCTGTTTCTTTAAGATACTCCACACTGAAGATGCAATTTGCAGAGGTGTTCTGTATCAGTTCGTGAAGTACTATATGAGGTAGTACAGGCGTGTCTCATGAATATGAAACTGAATGGGAGATTGGGTTTTGTGATGTGCGTGGACTTGATGAGCTTGGAAAAGGAAAGAGAATATGTGACTGAAGACATATGGACGTTTTCCATAAAGCAAAAGAGAGTTTGTTTGAAGATGAAGTTTTCCATTAAGGAAAATGGAAAGTTACCTTATGAGTATTGGAAATACTTGGAGAGCAAGTGGAAGACTTGGAGAGCGAGTTAAAGACGTGGAGAGCAAGTTCTGGTATGATATATAAGGAGGGTTGTGCCTTATGAGAAAGCCAGACCTCACAGAAAAGAGAGAGGGGTTTCATTGTATATTGGGTTGTGTTGTTGCTTGGTGTCGAAGGACATTCTGAAGTAGTTCGTGATGGAGTCTGATGTGGACTTAGTTTGGTGGCGTTCGTGGTGACGTTTGGTATGGTGGAGTTAGCCATCGTGTGTAGCTCGTGGTGAGCATTGTGTGTGCTTGGGTGATCAAGCGTTTGGTGTCACTGGTGTGCGTTGGGTGCTGACGTACTTGGTGAAGTACGCCCGAGAAGTGGAAGATTGAAGCCTAGACTCAGGGGGAGTTTAGCAAATGTGGTTTTATTGAAGAGGTCTGTGAAGATTGCAGCTGTAGAAGACAGTGTGCTCTGGCGCGCCCAGATGGTGTTGTATGCATGCGTGCTGATACCTAATCTTTGTAGAGTGCTTCTTAGAAAAGAGTCGTAAACACTAGTGTGTGTGTGTGTGTTGTACCATATAGCAATTGTAGGTTGCTCCTTGTTCTAAATCAATAAAATCTGGATTGGGTCCCAGGGATGTAGGAAACGAACCCCGTTAACAAATTTGATGTGTCTTACTTTCTGCACTATATTTTTCGTCGCCTCATCTACATCAACAATTGGTATCAGAGCGGGTCACCTAAGTTACTGGTGAGATCATGGAGGATGAGGACAAAATCTGGTTCAAGAAATGGGACAGAGTTTGTATGAAGATCGATGAAGATGGTGTCATGGGATTTCTTCCTTGGTTTGGAAGGTGCTGATCTTCAAATTGGTTTTTGACCATGATGTGACTCATAGGGGGAGATTGAAGACGTGGATTTCAAGCTCTTTATGATGAGTGCACATGTATAGTCAAAAAGGGGAGATTGAAGATGCAATTTGCAGAGGTGTTCTGTATCAGTTCGTGAAGACATGAGGTAGTACAGGCGTGTCTCATGAAGATGAAACTGAATGGGAAATTGGGTTTTGTGATGTGTGTGGACTTGATGAGCTTGGAAAAGGAAAGAGAATATGTGACTGAAAACATATGAACGTTTTCCATAAAGCAAAAGAGAGTTTGCTTGAAGATGAAGTTTTCCATTAAGGAAAATGGAAAGTTACCTTATATGTTTTGGAAATACTTGGAGAGCAAGTGGAAGACTTGGAGAGCGAGTTAAAGACATGGAGAGCAAATTCTGGTATGATATATAAGGAGGGTTGTGCCTTATGAGAAAGCCAGGCCTCACAGAAAAGAGAGAGGGGTTTCACTGTATATTGGGTTGTGTTGTTGCTTGGTGTCGAAGGACATTCTGAAGTAGTTCGTGATGGAGTCTGATGTGGACTTAGTTTGGTGGCGTTCGTGGTGACGTTTGGTATGGTGGAGTTGGCCATCGTGTGTAGCTCGTGGTGAGCATTGTGTGTGCTTGGGTGATCAAGCTTTTGGTGTCACTGGTGTGCGTTGGGTGCTGACGTACTTGGTGAAGTAATTCTGAGAAGTGGAAGATTGAAGCCTAGACTCAGGGGGAATTTAGCAAAGGCGGTTTTATTGAAGAGGTCTGTGAAGATTGCAGCTGTAGAAGATAGTGTGCTCTGGCACACCCAGATGGTGTTGTATGCATGCGTGCTGATACCTAATCTTTGTAGATTGCTTTTTAGAAAAGAGTGGTAAACACTAGTGTGTGTGTTGTACCATATAGCAATTGTAGGTTACTCCTTGTTTTAAATCAATAAAATCTGGACTGGGTTCCAGGGATATAGGAAACGAACCCCGTTAACAAATTTGATGTGTCTTACTTTCTGTACTATATTTTTCGTCGCCTCATCTACATCAACACACTTTTTCCGTTATTTTTTCTTTCTTTGTGTTCGTTCATCTTAGCTAAATATAATTTTAGTTTAGTTTGTACCTGGTTCAGATAAAATGTTTCAGTTATGAAGTATGGAAACATTACCTTACTCATAAATTAATGAAACCTTTTGGTTGGTGGTGTGTACCACTTAAACAAATTATCATACACACTATTAAACCAAAATAAAATTAAATAAGTTATGTTCATAACTTTTGATTACGCTAAGTAAAATCGCGGTACAAAGTGAATTTATTAAAAAAATTGTTGTTAAATCTATCAATGTTATACCATTACATTTTTTTCCATCTTTTATTTCTAATGTTATACCCACTTAGTTTGTGTAATGATACAACTTTAGATTAGAGTATCACCAATTCGATGCATGTGAGAACCTCCTACATTTTAAAAATTCCCTAATTTGTTTCACAATTTTTAAATCTATTTTAAATTTTTTTAATAATTGACTCGTGGATCTAAACAATACGGGATATGTTTCTACTCTGAGATAAGAACAATATTGCAAGGTTTGGTTATTTTTAATTTTTTTTAAAACAAAAAAAAAATTAATAGAAATCCAGATTATATAATGTCACGATAGAAAAAAAAATATCAAACAGTAACAAAACAAAAAATGTTTTAAACTTAAAATATATAAGTTTAGAGAATTCCATACAACAACTAAAAAATTTAAAAACATTCATTTCGCTGACTTAAGATCCATATCTTTCAAAATCCAACACTGTAAGGACACCTTTAAAAGTCCAGAAAGTGTTCTTAGAAAATAATGCGAGACTGATTCTCTATCTCTAATTGTTTTCTATCTAAACTGCACAAATGAAGTTGACTGTTATTATATAAAATAAATCACGTTTTCAATCAAACAATCTCAATAACAACACCTGGAATTCTCATTACAGTTTTCGTGGACAAATATTTTTAAACATCCTATAACATTTATCAATCATTACTTCCAAAATTCCAAATGATACTCCAACAAACTTTAACCGAAAAACTTACCATACCCAGCCAAAATATAACAAACACACAAATAATCCACCAATTATGGGATCAAAATTATCAAAAAAAAAAACAAACAACAAAAGACCATTTAAACCTCATACAACATCTTATATGTTATATGCCTCAACATTTCACTCCCTCCATTTCTTTTTATATGATATTTTGGTTTAGTGCACAAAAATAAAGAAATATATATAATTAAAAAAATTATTTTCAAAAATATAATTTTATAATCCTTTAATTAGTTATAAAAAAAATATGTAAAATCCTATTAGTTGAATAGTTTCCAATAAAATTAAAGTTAATCTTAAAACATCAAATCATCATATATTTTGAAAAGGACAAATCTTCTTAAACGTCATATAATTTAAAATGGAAGGAATAACATAGAAATAATCTTTGTACTCAAACATAATAAATCTTATCATATAATTCATTTTCCCCAAAACGTTCTTTAAAGCCAAAAAAAAAACAACAAAAGGATACAAAGATATAAGTACCTATATCACACGTAAAGCATATTCCGCGCGTAGCACGGACCGATCTAGTAGAAAATAAACCAGAAACTAAACACAAAACCAAGCAACTGAAAACACAATTTACTAGCACATTAAATTAAATACAATAGACTAATAATATAACTATTTGAATAACTTGTGTTAAAAAAACTATTTGAATAACTAAATAAAATGGATTTATGTTATCATTGTTTTCTCAAAACATACTGATCTTTTTTGTGTTAAAAATGACCTTTCTTTTATAGTTTATTCTCTTTGAAAAAAGTAATATAAATTTATTGAAACAAAAACGTATTAAATAAATTAATTTAAATAATTTTCATATTATAAATCTGGTAAAATCTAGGTTTGCAAATAGTAATAACTGTAAAGAAAAGTAAAATAGATCCAAGGAAAATGATCCATGACCAAAAAAATAGAACAATGACCATTAAACCACTATTAGCTAGTTAAATATATATATTTTGGTATATTTTGTTTAACTGGAGTTGGTAAATATAAATCATTATATGTTGGATAGAAATGTAATCTTCTTAAAGTTATCTATAGGTGCCAGATTACCAACTTTTTTATTTTTTAAGAAAAAAATACTTTTTGGGAAAATCTTTTTTCTTAATTTGCACATTCTCTAAAATATATCTTTGGGGAAATTTTATTTTTATGTAAATCTTAAAAAGAAACATTTTAGCCAAAGTGCTATATTATATATATATATATATATAACTCCTCTCTGCTAATTTTTTAAAAAAACAATTGCATAAATATTAAATGGTGTTTGTTGTTAAAATATTGCAATTTAATAGATTTTATCAGTTGCATTAGGCCTAAGTTGCATTAATGTATCTAGCTAGATATGTGCCTTAAAATGTTTCTTCAAAAATTAGTTCATCGTCAATTATCGGGCTTTACTTGATTTTCTTAAGAAATCAAATCAGTGGATCTTTAACCATAGTTGGAATTAGGTAAGGAAATATAGATCCATTTAAACTGGACATAACTTTATCAATAGTTAAAATTCTATTGTAACGAGAACATAATGTTTGAAATATAAAGACGGTCAACCCAACCCTTGAGAAAGGAAAACAAAACCAAGTTGAAACTTTTGCTTTTAGCAATGAAATATCTAATGACTCCCTTGGCTCTCTCATTTTTGTATTTATGCACCGTTACATCCTCGCATTTCTCTTCTGGTGGTTTAGATATGAAAGATTTCAACAAAGATAGAGTAAAGACACTGGTGGTTAGTCATAAAGGTACAGGTGATTTCAGAACCATCCAAGCAGCCATCGACTCCATTCCCTCTAATAACAACAATTGGATTAAGATCTATCTTAAACATGGAACCTACAAGTAAGCTCTCTCATCTCTACTTTCTTCAAGCAATTCCTTTGATTTTCATGGGTTTATTTGCTGAGACATTCTAATTTTGAGCCATTTATTCCAAAACATGCGGTGGCAATCAACTTCCTATAAAGTGAGATTATATAAGTGGTGTACTTTATTTATTGCACATACTGAGCGAGATTACGTAAGATACACCACTTATTTACAAAAACGTTACCAGGTTACTTTATAAATTTTGCTCACATTAGGCTATCTCAGCGAATAAAGTCTCTTTTATTTGGGTTTATAATATACATATTTGTGTATGGGCGCAGCGAAAAGATAGTAATCGAGAAGCAAATGATAGTAATGCAGGGAAACGACGCATCAAAAGTGACAATTCAATATAATGATGCAGGACTAGCTAATTCTAGTGGTCCGTTCAGGTTAAACTCAGAATACTTCGTCGCTATCAATATTACGTTCAAGGTAATGGTTTATTATATTTATGTAGTTTTCCTTATTATGTCTATCATGGTGTGTCGTTAATGATATATTCGTGACAAATTCAAATCTGTTTTTTTCCGTGATCTAATTTTCACTTTCAAAAAGAAACGGTATATCACCCGTTCAAATTTTGACGATTCAAAATCATGATTCCTCAAAAGAAAAAAACATTTCCAAATCACTAAATTGTTACTCTATTAAAAATAATTATTTCACTATATATAGTGTACATATGAAAAAAAAAACATCACTAAAATAAACGAACAGTCAATGATCTAGACAACTACCTCTTTTGTTTTTTAAAGATTATACATGAAAGAATTGTTCGCCCAACTGTTTTAAATATTTCGATATTTCGCTAGTCCATCATTTGGATATTTGTCTAATGTATCAATCATCCTGTTTAATTAATTTTATCATGATTAGATAGATCTTTTGGATTAGTTTTCACATATGGATGTAAATATCATACTACAAGATTCTAGTATACAAAATGAGTTATGCACGTTATTATGATTGTGCAGAATACTTATAACAACATAAAACAAATAGTACCGTATACGGATATAAAGGTAGCTCCGTCGGCTATACTAATGGCGGACAAGGCGTCGTTCTATGGCTGTAGATTCATCAGTGTCCAAGACACACTTGCTGATTTACTTGGCCGTCACTACTTCCACAAATGTTACATCGAAGGAGCTGTTGATTTCATATGGGGAAGAGGCCAATCTATATACCAAGTAATCTCATATATTCTCTCAATAAGAGCATGTGGGTTAAGTCTAGGGATGTTGTAATACAACAGTACTGTAATAATGTATATTTACGGGATCAAGTATGGAGCCGAATGGAGTCAGTTTGAAGCCTAGGCAACGTCACTAAAGAACATGCCAAATAAAACCCACAAAGACTCAACATACCAAGCAAAATCTGTTATTTTATCTAAATATGTTCTCTCTTTCATGTTGGACCAATATATATCTAAATGAGTTAGTGTTTGGATGCAGAATTGCGTGATAAATGTTAAGGGAGTAACATCAAAGAAAATGGTGAATAACAAAGAAATGTTAGCAGGATTCATAACTGCGCAAGGGAGGGAAAGCGAGCAAGACACAAGTGGATTTGTGTTCAATAAATGTGTGATCAAAGGAACTGGTAAGGCATTCTTGGGAAGAGCTTACCGAGGCTACTCTAGAGTTGTCTTTTATGGAACACACATGTCAAATGTCGTTGTTCCTCGAGGTTGGAATGCTTGGCATTATGAAGGCCAAGAGTACGTAATTCTTTCTTCTCTTTAACTTCCAATGTACATTTGGAAAACAAAGTTTACGACAATAACGAGCTAAAAATAATATGATCAGGGATAAATTTACATTTGTGGAGGTAAACAACACAGGACAAGGAGCAGATAAGAAGCGGAGAGTTGGGTGGGAGAAGAATCTCTCAGCTAAAGAAGTTGACTTTCTTTTAAATCCTAAAACTTTCGTTGATAAAGATAGCTGGATGGCAACTCTTCCTTCTTCTCTCGTCTAGCTCATTAACCATCATCTTTATTTTTAAGCTTCAGAAATTAATTTCGTTTATAATGTTTGGAAATAATAGTCTTTGATTTTTACGTATTGATCTTTTCACCTAGCCCACTCTCAAACATTTTGACATAACTACTACAGTCACTTAAGTTTCCATTTACAGTCGGTTCTTATTTTAGATACAAACAAACTATACATTCTGTTTCGTTATTACTATTTACATGAACGATTATTATTTTCTGTCACTATCGTAAGCAGGTAAAGGGGTTGAATAAAAGAACTTACAATATCCATTCTACCCTTTCATCGCCTTGTAGCACTGGAGGCTGCACAATGGAAGGTTTGATAGTGAATCTCTGTATTTGTATGGGTTGGTACATTCTGGACCTGCACATCTCTCCCGCGGTGGAGGATAGCTGTTTCAAATAACAATGTCAATCCTCAGCCCGGTTTGATTTTAAAGGACCAACGCATCAAACCAAAGTAGTGCTACAACATGACATTTATTGTATCTAAGATCAGTGTTAATAAATCGTACCTTTGAGGTCTAGAGTTGAATATAGATGGTAATCCAAGTTCTTCTGGGAAGGTTACGATGGTTCCTGAAGGACCCATTACCCACTTCACTGTGTCTGATCTACGGGCTATCGAGTCTGCAGCCTTCTCCTGCATAGAACATAATTGAAAATCTTCTTAAGATTGATAGAAGAGATCTCACATAAGCTGCTCAAATTTTCATTCAACAGTAAAAGAAAATATTTTCTTAGTTTATACCTTAGCCTTCTCTTCTTGTTGTTTCTTTATCTTATCTTCCTTCTTTTTTCTGTTAGAGTCTTGTCCCAGAATCTTTCTGATTGCCTCAGCCTGCCAATGCAATAAAGATTTTGTACACTTTGATTTAACCAGCCACAAGAACATTATATATTTCATTCAACTGAAAATGAAAACATGACCAAACCTCTGACTCTCTAGCTGCCTTTTCGACTTGAAGTTTACGTCTCTTGGCAGCCTCAGCTTTCTTTAGTTGCTGATCAACCTCTAACCCATCTTCTTTCCGCTCTGTAAGCAAACAAAACAAAAGCAAGAAGATTTACGTCGGAGAACAATAAGAACCTGGACCATACATTGAGCAACTATAGCCCTGTTCATTTGGTTGCAGTTAGCGGTAGGGACTAAAATGTTGTTCGTTTTGCAGACGCTGAACCAGCAACTAAAAGCAACGACCAATCGCAGCGACTAGCGATTGTAATCTAAAATCGCTAATTTTTTGACCGACGGATTTATAATGAACAGGATGTGCAAAATTGTAAGTACGCTATAACAACTTAAAGATAACGTTTTTAGTGAATTCCTCCATATCTAACAGCAACAAAAAAAAAAAAAAAAGAGAAGGGTTAGATGTTCATCAAGCTTACTTTTAGGTGGAGCGGGAGGTAAGCCACGAGGAAACTCTATAAGGTTTCCACTATGTCCAGAACGTCGACGAGTAGTCACAGTCATTTCTGTTTTTTCACTCAGACCTTCTCTTCTTCTAGCTCTCCCGCTCTTACTTTCTAGCTCAATCTCTGCATCACTCAGACCTTCTTCCTCATCTTTGACATAATCATAATCATAATCATCATCAAATGCTTTTCCTGTCTTACCTGACTTCTCTGATGTTCCAACACCACGCGGATATTCAACATTTTGTTTCATTACCTTAGAAAGCTTTTTATGTTTTCTATTCCTTTCTTCATCTTCATCAACGTCTTCTTCCACAGCAACAACTTTTTTACCCATTTTCACCCTTCTGAGAAACTGAATCTCGCCGTCGTCATCATCATCAAGACCACCGAGTTCCTCCCCAAGAACACGTCGTTTGGAAGTCCGGTTGCTTTTACGGATGGGATACGTATTTGTTTTGCTATCCCTGGTATCATTACATGAATCTGCTTTGCTTTCATTGTCCAAGGATGCATGGGAAGACTTTGTCGAAGCACCATCAGATACAGATATTGCATTGGATGAACCACTGACTTTGAGTTTAACCTTCTTGATTGTATTCTCAGCGAAACCAGCTCGACGTTGGCTCGATTCTTTCTTAATAGTAGGGACAAGAAACCCATCAGTGGATGCAGTGCTGTGACCCTGATTACTTCCTTGGAATGAACCATTCGTTGAACCTTCATCTGACTCCATTGCTTCCCTCTCTTCTATTTTATTTTCATTCTGCCAAAACACAAAGCCGATCTCCACACATATCAGTTAATGACAACTCATTCGTATAACAGCAGTAGACACTGTTACGGTTACAGTGTAAGAAGTGATTATTCAATTTCAACATAAATACTAAACAAGAATGAAAAGGCAATAGCTGGCGCGAAAACTACTTTTAGCTTAAGTTTTGCATTGCAAAATTTTTATAAGATGTTGGAGGTTTCTTACATTGTCAGGGATTGGTGTGGAGGGCAATGACGAAGCATCCTGTAACTGTCGTTCATTCCAAGGCCGGCGCAATGTAGTACTCCTCTTCTTCCTTGTTGTTGCACTGCTCGTGTTACTGAACCCTATACCTCCGAGGTTTTCCATAGTGGTCTTCGCTTGACTCAAAAACTGAAGCACCACATTCCTAATCCATTCACATCAGAATAAAACACAAGAGCCAATAAGAGAAGGGCATATCTAGAAGTAAAGCTAACTAAGATTCCCAAAATAATAGAATTCGTGATTTAATATGTTTTCCAGTTCTTCACATTGTACTCAAGGGTTTCATTTTTTTCAATTTCCAACGCTTCTGGGTAAGGAATTGTCATTTACAAAACAGGTGATGCCAAAATTATCAATATCATGTTAAAAGGTCCTTAACAGAAAAGCTTTTTACTTGGCACAGTTTTTAGTTTAGTCCTATATTTAGAAAGAACATCGCCTAGATCCATACTATAATCCCCAACAAGTTTCACTTACCAAACAAAGATAAACATGTTAAGAAGAGGAGTAGAGAACTATGGACTTATTCAAGTAATACATTAACAGAGGATTCTCTTGAAAAAGATTGCATATCATGTATACTTTGGAATAGTTCAAAGACATCAGACTAAGACTAAAATGAAAGAAAAATGTTGAGAATATTTGATTAGAGATTGAAAATTGAAAAATTAACTCTATTTTGCCTTCAAACATTCCCAACAGGGTAGATGCTGGAAAAAGAGATGTGACAGAAAGCAAGCCTGTAGAGCAAACACAATAATCGACAAAAAATCGAACCCAACAAGGATTGAGTTTCAAAAACCTAGTTGAATTGGTCAATACACTGGAAAGTCAACACAGAGTCTACCCTTTCTTACACGCGAAAATTAAGATGATGATACTAAAGTCATCTCAATCAAACCAAATCACAACAAAACAGAGAAGCAAAGAACTCAAATAAAAGAGGTCGATCAAAGCAGTTTTACCTGGTGGGCTTTCTAAAAGGATCAAAATTTGAAATTAGGGTTTATCGGAATTGGCAAAGAGGACAAGAAAGTTTTTGCTGTCTTCACTCTTCTGCGGTTCTGCTAAACTACGCCTATTTCGTTGACTTTAGCGACAAACAGAGGCCTTGTAATTGCCCTGCCACTGTTCTACTTTGGTTTCGCTAAAGTCAATCATTAGTCTTCGACCATCTCTAATGGTTCTAATTTTTTCTTCATTTTAAAATAATTTTTATTAATGTTAGCTTATTTCTTATTTCAAATTTGAAACAATACTGTTTATTGTTTCATTTTTTTAACTTTCCAAATTATAAATTCAAACTTAAATTTTACCTGTTCGTATTTTTATATAAAACAAAGTATATTAATTAATATAACCTAATTAATTTCTAATATTTATTTTTATAATAATTTAAATAATTTCTAATATTAAATATTTTCAAAATCATATATTATATATTATATGAAAGAAAAAATTATATAATTAATTTAAAAGTGGAATACATGATTGATAACTCCAAACTATACATAAAACACTTAGGAGATGTATTTAAACTGATTTTAGAATGTGTTGGTGGACTTTACAATTATTGAGACTGAAAGTGAATTTAGGAGAAAACTTAGTAATTTTGTTTGGATTTTAAAAAGATCGGTGTTTTGGTAAAGAGAATTTTTTTTTTTACCAACCAACCAAATACTTTTATTAGGTTCAATCTTGTTCAACAGAGTTATACAAAAAAAAAACAGGACATGTATGGAACAAGCTCCGGTCTGTACTGGAACTAATAAAACTCTACTAGGCGATGAGCACACTCATTACCAGAACGTTTTACATGAGAAAAACAGACAGAATGAAATAATAACTTCCATTGTTTGACATTTGCTAGTAAACGTTGTAAACGCATGCTTATCGTTTGTTGATTAAGAATTTTAGTTAAAGTGATATTATTTCCTTCGAATACTATATTACGATAACCATAATTCCAATAAGCCTTGATAGACCAGATGAGAGCAGGTAATTCTGACTCCAAAACCGTAGACCTTCCTTCAAACTTGCCCATTCCACCTTCTAAGTAAATGCCTCGATGGTTTCTTATTATCCAACCCATTCTAGAGTAAGTCTGACCATCATGATGAGATGCATCATAATTACATTTAATCCAACCTTATGGGGGACAACACCATGAGATAATCAGTCTAGTAGAACTAGTATGTTGTTGTAGAGATTTTATTATCGTATTAAGACCCAATTCCATCCATTCTCTGACATCTGCCTGAGCTTTATCAACAACCTCATTAGCAGCAAACATTTTTTTATTAAAAATCAACTCATTACGGAATTCCATAATCTCCACATAATCCAAATAGGCAATAATCGTTGTTCCCGAGGAAGTGATGTATTAGACGTATGATTGAGAATAATTCTCAATTTATCTACCAACTCTCAAGTACTCTGCGAAGTATCTTTTGGAAAGAAAGACAAACGCCAAACTTGATGAGCAAAAGGACATGTAAAAATGGCATGAACACTAGAATCTTCCATGTTGCAACATCGAGGACAATAAGGGTCCACATCAATATGATGATGAAGAAGATTATATTTAACACCGATAATATGTAACCCGACCCTCCATAGGAAATGTTTTAGTTTTGGAGGAATATCAAAATTCCAGATTCCCTTAGTTATAGATGGTTCTGATGCTAAAGGTGGCGGATCAATAGAGGGGGAGTGGTTTTTTGAAATATAGTGATAACCTGACTTAACACTATAATTTCCATCAATAGTACATGGCCATATTCCACTGTCTTGAGTAGGAAAACTAGGTAGATAAAGCCTCTGAATGAGACGAATATCTTCTTGTTCCACCAAATCTTTAACAACTTCTAAATCCCACTGTTTTTTGGATGGGTCTATAAGAGTGTAAAGTAGGGTTTGTATATGAATTCTACCTATGTTTTTAATACGCACGCTTTCAAGAGTTTGCGTTAATCAAAAGCAAACAAACAAAAATTAAAAAAAAATCATCAATTAAAAAATTAGAAACTTATAAAGCTTCTGGAAATTTTTTCTTCGAGGAAAATAAAAGTGAATTTATCGTTTTTTCAGAAGCTCCAATATAAATATACAGCTTACTCTTACAACAAAACAAACATAAATTCGTCTTATATAGATCCAATGCATCTACAGATTTATATACATGAAATGATAAAAATCATATGCAAATGAGAATCATGAAATCTTCTCATCGGACATAAAGACAAAATGGTGAATCATCGGATTTGTCTTCTTGCATAGTTGAATCAGATTTGAACATTTGTAGTTTTTTGAACGTACAAGTTCTTTGTACAAGTTTAAACGTACGAGTTCTTATAAAATCTTTTCGAATAATGTATGTAGAGGTGTGATTTCACTATGCTTATTTTTAAGTAAAAGACTGATGCAAAGTTTTCTAAATTCTTATATTTTCATAAATCCTATAAAGATGAGTTGTTTTGAATAACAGTTTATTTGATATAAGTTTTACAAACTGCTATTTGAATAAAAGAAGATTTCAAGTAACTTTTAATAGTTTTACAAAAATTATTCAATAACATATTGATTTGAACTGATAATTAGAAACCATTAATTGAATAATTAGTGACACTACAAGAAAACTAAGCCTTTACTAGGAAATTTTACTAGGAAAATTCTTCCTCGTAAAATTACTAAGGCCGTACTTCGAGTTTACGAGGAAAGCAAATTTCCTCGTAAGTTCCTCGAAAAATTACGAGAAAACGTTTTCCTCGTAAGACCTTAGTAATTTTACGAGGAGCTTACGAGGAAAAAGTACTTTTCTTCGTAAAGCCGTATTAAAGACTTTCCTCGTAAACGCATAGTAAAAGTTTACTACGAAATTAAGAGGAAACTGTTTATTACTAGGAAATTAGGAGGAACTGGATAGGAAATATCGAATTTAAATAAAAAACGTGTTTTGTACCTACTTTTTCTAGCAATTTCCTAGTAAATGCTCAGATTCAAAAATTTCTATAAATACCACCTTATGTGATTCATTTGAAACACACCAAAAAAAATCAGCTATAAGCTTGATCAAACACAAAAAATGTCCGGTCCGGGAAATATTTTCGAGTTGCGGCAGTGGATGTATTCATATAGAGATAATAACGGGAGGGTGACGAACAGATTTCTGCAAGGGTTGGAGACATTTATGCATCAAGCAGATTCTACACCACTCACGCAGGAAAGTGGTAAGATGTTCTGTCCTTGTCGGAAATGCTGCAATAGCAAATTAGGCCCTCGTGAAAATGTTTGGAAGCATTTAATAAATAGAGGTTTCATGCCATATTATTATATTTGGTATCAACATGGAGAAGATGCTAGTTGTAGGAATGAAAGTAGCAGTAGTAATCATGTTGAACCGGTTGATCATTTGCGTAATGAAGGTAGCAGTAGTTATAGCTATGATCATCACCAAGAGGAACAAATGGTAGATTGTGATAGGGTTCATGATATGGTAGGTGATGCATTTGTAACTCATGATGATGATGAAGTTGAAGAACCTAACTTAGATGCAAAAAAGTTTTACGAAATGTTAGAAGCTGCAAATGAGC